GAGAAACCCTGTCTCGAAAAACCAAAAAAAAAAAAAAAATTTTTTTGAAGGTAATGCTAGCCCACTATGGTGGCACATAACCTTTAACCCCAGCACTTGGGAGGCAGAGGCAGACAGCCTGGTCTACAGAACAAGTTTCAAGTCAGCCAGGGCAACAGCCTGTCTGAAACAAAAACAAAAAACAATGTTTCTTAAGTTTACCTGAAGCAGGAATGCTTGGCCTCATACATGATACAGTCTAAATAAAACCAAAAGCATGCTGAGGATTGAAACCCAGAGCCTCGAGCCAGGCATGTCAGTCCAGGCCTATCTTTCAGCACTTTAGAAAATAGAGACAAATGGGATCAGAAATTGAAGGCTAGCTTCATTCTGAGTTTCAGATCAGCCTAAGCTAAATGAGACTTTGTTACAAACAAACCAGAGCCTCACACATCCAATGTGAAGGTCCTACCACTGAACTATGCCCCCCCGCAGGAATACCTTTTTTCCCCACTTAAAGCAACTTTAGGTGGCTGGAGAGATGATGCTCTTGTTACAGCACTTGCTGCTCTTAGTCTCACGATGACGCTGGCAGGCTCTGTACTAGGAAGGCCTTGAACTCACAGAGATACTCCTGCCTCTGCCGCTTTCATGTCTTTCCACTTTCTAAGTGACAATGTTTTGTCCATTCTCCAGTGGATCATTCATACACATACAAGCAATACTAGTTATGTTCAGTGGGGCCGGGTTGTGGTGGCACATGCCTTTAATTGCAGCACTTGGGAGGCAGAGGCCAGCCTGGTCTACAGAGGGAGTCCCAGGACAGTCAGGGCTACACAGAGAAACCCTGTCATGAAAAACCAAATACAAACATACATGCATAGGACATGAAATTGGATGGGGTGTTAAGGAGAATTCATGAAGGAGTTGGAAGGAAGGAAATAAGGAGTAGATTGCATACATGTATGATTTTTTTTTTTTTTTTCGAGACAGGGTTTCCCTGTAACTTTGGAGCCTGTCCTGGAACTAGCTCTTGTAGACCAGGCTGGCCTCGAACTCACAGAGGCTGGCCTGTCTCTGCCTCCCTAGTGCTGGGATTAAAAGCGTGCACCACCACCGCCTGGCCTGAAATTTTTAAAATATATAAAAAAATACCTTAAGAAAGAAGTTCAGGCTTTGTCTAGTAGCCCTAACTCTGGATTGCCTAATCATTTTGTTTGTATTCTTTACTTGTCCTACCAGTTCCTACCAGTTTATTTTCTGGAAAATAAATGGAAGTTAGGCCTAGAAGTTTGATTGAATTCAAGTTCATTATTCTTTTTTTTAAATTATTTTTTTGTTCTCAAGACAAGGTTTCTCTGTGTAGTCTTAGCTGTGTTGGAGCTTGCTGGCCTCAGAGAGCCTCTTGCCTTTTCCTCCTGAGTGCTGGGATTAAATGTGTGCCACCAAGGCCAGGCTTGCATTTATTTATTTTTTGAGAGGGTCTCACTGTGTAACTCAGTCAGATCCTCCAGTGCTGGGATATGGGCACAGGCCACTGTGCTCAACTTCAAGCTCATTTTTGGAAAACTTTCAGAGGTGCTGCTATGTGCAGCACAAAAGTAAAAGCTGACTCAGCACTAAGGCTAAATTCAGTGTCAGGTTCAAGTGGTGTCTGGCCGATCACTCACTGGAAACCGTGTGTGTGAGAGCAAGAGAGAGATGGGGAGCTGTGGGGGGTGGGGCAGGCTCTCATCTAGCTCAGCCTGGCCTGGAACAAACTATGTAATACAGGCTGGCCTCAAATTTGTAGCAATCCTGACTCAGACATTCTCCAAGTGCTGGGATTAACAGCGTGAGCCCATGTCTGGCTTGGAAAGATACCATTTATTTATTGATTGATTGATTTTGTGCAGCAAGTAGTCTGAGGGGCTAACACCTTCTCCTATGACTTTTCCTCTGATGGTTTTATTTTGACATCAGTTAAAGATGTTGGCCTTGGCCCTTGCTGGACACTGCAGCAAGAGAGGGGAGGCCCACCCTCATGGGAGAGCTGTCCCCATTCTGCACTTGGGAGAGAGAATGGACCCCAATGGCATAGGGGAATTGGCTCTGCATATCACTTTAGGTGGGTGGTCCCGGTGGCCCAGACTGACCAACTCAACTACCACCCAGGCCCACAACCAGGCCTGGGGTGGCCCACCCTAACATCTACCACATCTAGACCCGCTAGAGTTTGTGAAGTGACTGGTCCTGTGGACCAATGCCTGTAGGATTTCCATGTCTCAGGGCAGGAGGTTCGGTGTGAATCCAGCGATGACGGTGGACCAGCAACCAGAGGCCTTGAGCCAGACCAATGACTCATTGTTATGAACATTTACAAGTAAAGCTAATTGGATAAAAGGGTATAGGCAGTCACACAAAGAGAGACTGTACAACAAGGACATTAAGAAACATCTCCATCGCTGGGCCGTGGTGGCGCACGCCTTTAATCCCAGCACTTGGGAGGCAGAGGTCGGTGCATCTCTGAGTTCTACAAGAGCTAGTTCCAGGACAGCCTCTAAAGCTATGGAGAAACCCTGTCTCAAAATACCAGAAAAAAAAAAAAAGAGGGGGCTGGAGAGATGGCTCAGTGGTTAAGAGCATTGCCTGCTCTTCCAGGGGTCCTGAGTTCGATTCCCAGCAACCACATGGTGGCTCACAACCATCTGTAATGAGGTCTGGTGCCCTCTTCTGACCTGTAGACATACACACAGATAGAATATTGTATACATAATAAATAAATAAATAAATATTTTTAAAAAAAAAAAAAAAAAAAAAAAAAAAAAAAAAAAAAAAAAAAAAGAAAGAAAAAGATAAAAAGAAACATCTCCATCTACAGAAGGAAGTAAACTACAGGATACAACAATGGCCCGTGAGATACTTGGGCCATGTTACAAGAATGAATGATGGCAGATATGCACTGCTTGGAGGAGTGCGCAGCATAAGGCGAAGAGGAAGGCCCAAAGAATGCTAGACAGCATAAAGGAAGGCTGTGGAACCTTGGATATGACAATAACACAAGCATCTAGGACCGCTCAGCACAGGAACAGCTGGAGAACCGCCATACCCGGGCTGCCCATGCGTGCTTAAGCGTTGCCAGGGCATAAATGATAAAGATGATGTATATGACACACAGGGGCTCCCAAAGCCAGCAGGACTAATAGAGAAGTGTTGGAGAGGCAAGAAAAATGGAGTAGGAAGAGATTTTTGTTGTTTTTGTTCTTTTTCATTCAGATTTTTTTGTCTTTTGGAGACAGGGTTTTTCTGTGTAGCTTTTGAGTCTGTCCTGGAAATTGCTCTATCTATAGACCAGGCTGGCCTCGAAGTCACAGAGACCCACCTACCTTTGCCTTCTGAGTGCTGGAATTAAAGGTGTAGGCCACAACTGCCCAACCTTTTTTTCTTTTTTTAAAAATTTATTTATTTATTTCAGATCTAATTACAGATGGTTGTGAGCCACCATGTGGTTGCTAGGAATTGAACTCAGGACCTCTGGAAGAGCAGCCAGTGCTCAGTCACTGAGCCATCACTCCAGTCCCAACTTTTCTAGATCTCCTATCTATCTATCTATCTATCTATCTATCTATCTATCTATCTATCTATCATCTATCTATCTATTATCTATCTATCTATCATCTGTTTAGTGTTTTATGTGCATCAGTGTTTTGCCATGTGTGTTGGGTCACATGGAACCAAAGTTACAGACAGTTATGAGCTGCCATGCGGGTGCTGGGAATTTTCAAACCCTGGCCCTCTGGAAGAGCAGCCAGAGCTTTTAACTGCTGAGCCATCTCTTCAGCCTCCTGTCTAGATCTTGATTCAAACAAACCGTTAAAAACAAAACCCAGGAAAACCTGAATGCTGTTACTTCATATTAAAACTGTTAGCTATCTTCGAGGTGTCCCATCTCTAGTGGAATATTTAGTGGAAACAGAGTAAGTCTCTACAACACATAGACGTGAAGACTGTAACCCACTGGCACAAGACTAAAGTCAGAGGACAGGATATATGGCTCTATCAGATCAGCATTATTCTCTTTATTTCTGTGTATTTGTCACAATTTCCATGATAAAATTATTTCTTCAAAATAAGAATTGTTTTGATACTGTTATATCAACTCCTTTCTTACAAAGAGTTCCATGGAAGAAAAATAATATTTTGGCTGTAATACATTGACTAGTGAATTAAGTTAAATTGTGTGCGTTATTACTTAGACATCATCTTTAAAGACTGTAAGTTACTGCAGGTTTGTGGGATCTATGAGACCACAGAAAGTCAGACTTCCCAGACAACAGCAGAAAACCGATAAAACAGCGGCATTTCTAAGTTATGGTGTGAACTCTGGGGCAGAAAGGTCGCGGCTTGGCTTCTAACTGCCCCCTCCACGAGCTCAGTCACCTTTTCAGCAGGTCATTTGGTTCCTGGGGCAATAATGCTCCTTGGCCAGTGAAGCAGAGGCACCACACAAGGTAAGTGCGCAGGCAAGGATTCAACTCATTCCATTCCCAGTTTTGATCCTGAACATATAATTCCCCCTTTGTCCTCTATCTTTGCAATGAAGATTTATCTCCTAATTGCTGGCATTAGTTCACAAAGATTTTCTTTCTTGGTTGCATGTAATAAAAATAATGGTATATTAGATTGTATCCAAGATTCAACATGGTATACTACTTTCCAATTTTTGTTTTAAGATTATTCTGAAAGACTAAATTTTTCTTCTCTCTCTCTTTTTTTTTTTTTTTTTTTTTTGGCTTTCCGTGACAGAATTTCTTTGTAGCTTTGGAACCTGTCCTGGAACTCACTTTGTAGACCAGGCTGCCCTTGAACTCAAGAGATCTACCTGCCCCCGCCTCCCAAGTGCTGGGATTAAAGGCGTGGGCCACCACTAAAAGACTAATTTGCAACTTAAAAATTTCAATGTCTGAGCAATTTTTTTTTTCTTTTGACCGAGTCTCTTGTAATCCAGGTTGCCCTAGAACTCAGTAGGTAGGCAAGGGTCACTGTGAACTCTGAAGGTCCTGCCCACACCTCCCAGATGCTAGGGTTGATGTAGACAAAGCCATGCCCAGGTATGAGCAAAGTATTTCCAACACATCATGAAGAAATTCCGAGACAAATTAGTTTTGTAAAAAATGTTTTATCAATTCTATTTTTGTATAAAACACAAGGGAGAAACTTGGCCAATCAACACATGACCATGACCACAGGGAAAGGGACTTATCAAACTTCACAAGTCTAAAAACATACAAGTGTTTCTTTTAGCTTGTCTACAGCAATTGTCTATGCTTTTCCACTGAACTGTTCTTAAAGTTTCCACACAATCCCACAGGTGTCCACTGTCCAGCTACAGACAGTAACGGGGAGCAGGTGGTTAAATCACTTCCTAAGCAGTTTTCTGCTGCCCCTTCTTTCCAATCAGAGATTTGTGGATGTGCGGAATCACACCTAGAATGAAATTCAAAAAGTTTTGTTAGTACACTATGATAACATTCTGAATATTTTAGTGCTTTAGTGCTAAAGTAAACAAGCAATTATACAAAGGATAGAATTTATTTAAATCACCTTTCATATTTGGATCCTATTAAACCTATAGGAGCCCGGAAGCCACTCTATAGGAATAGTAAGTGTAGCTAACTGCAGCCACTACAAGGTTCTGGAAGCACCTGGTAACTCCATCTTTACAGACCGTACAGAACACTTTGGTCCTGCCAAGACTATCCTAACAAGCAACGTCTCAGGACATGTTATTTCTCTAGCATAGTTCAAAATGTATGGGGCAGTACTTTAAACCTTAGGCTCGAAGTATCACAAAAGTAAACAACAAGCTAAAATAAAAATAGCACTGCCCATGGCAAGGGGACAAATATTTACTCAGACCACTATGAGAAGAGGCCTAGAGGGTCCTGAGTTGTGGCTCAACTGTAGCATTTATGGGGACCCAGGTTCACCGCACCAACAGAACTGTAGTACACTTAACACTTGTGGACCTAAAAGTCATACGGTTCCTATTTAACTACTGACGTTGAGGATCACTGATCTGAAGGATGTTAATTAGAAATACTGTAGACTTAATAACACATACCGCCCCCAGCTATGGTAGCCTTGATGAGTGAATCCAGCTCTTCATCACCTCGGATTGCAAGCTGCAAGTGACGTGGAGTGATGCGCTTCACTTTGAGATCCTTGGAAGCATTACCTGCCAACTCCAGCACCTTTAAAGCATCCGTGAAATAACACAATTAAGTAAACAGTAGGTTTCAAACTGTAGGAAAACAACCTCTCTGTCACTGTTTGTTTTTATGACACTCAGTACCTCCCATTGACTCCCCTCCTTGCACAGAGACACACGTACACCTCCCCACCCCTTAAGACAGGGCTTCTCTGTGTAGCCTTGGCTGTCCTGGAACTCAGTCTGTAGACCAGGCTGGCCTTGTACTCAGAGATTCACCTGCCTCTGCCTCCAGAGTGCTGGGATTAAAGGCGCGAATCATCACTGGTTGGTCAAAACTCCAAGGTTAAATACCTAGAATATGCTGACTTGTTTTAAAATGTATTTATATAACACCTGTGCTTTTGGCAAACTGGTAGACAAAGAAATAAAAGACAGGTGCAAAACTAAATCCCGTTACAACCCAGAATTTATTGTTTATTCTGAGTTTTGATACTCGTAAGACATGATACTTATGACAGAACGACAATGGCATTGCACTAATCATGAGGCTGGATCTAAGAATAAAGGGTGACAAGTTAAAAGCATAAAGAAACTAAAGCTGCAGGGATTCCCACAAGCTACGCACCTACCCTCTCACTGAGCTGTACTGGGAGGCGGTCTACCCTAGAAACCCTGGCCAGCTGTGAGCGAAACATGTAGCTCAGTCACTTGTCGCTGGGTAGGACCACAAGTCTAATGCCAGCTGAGGCTGCCTACAAGGCTGTGTCAAAGAAACAAAGGACAGGACTGGAGAGGTGTCTCAGTGGCTAAGAACACTGGCTGCTCTTCCACAGGACCCTGGTTCAATTCCTAACACCTACATGGTGGATCATAACCATTCTTTTTTTTTAATTTATTTATGTATACTGTGTTCTGCCTGCATGTATGGCTGTAAGCCAGAAGAGGGCACCAGATCTCATTACAGATGGTTGTGAACCACCATGTAGCTTCAGTGGCCAGTGCTCTTAACCTCTGAGCCATCTCTCCAACCCCCCCATCATAACCATTAACTCCAGACCCAGAGTACCTGACACCCTCTTCTGGCTTCTGTGAGCACTGAACGCAGGTGGTAAGCAGACATACAAGCAGGTAAAATACTCAAATACATAAAATAATAAAACAAAACATCCAAAGGGCTAGAGACGTAGATGAGTATAGAGAGTTCCCTAACTCATAAGGTCGTGGGTTCAATCCCAAGTACCACAAAGAAAACGTAGCTGAATCCAAATAGGAATGTAGAAAGACCTCCACGGGTGAGTGTAACTCTACATGCCACAGCACTAGTAAAGGAAAATGCATATCCTCCTAAAGCCAGTAGTAAAAATCTGGAATAGGATCAAAGAAGAAAGTATCTCAATTAACAGCAAAATGCCCCCATGAAACCTTTGACTTGTAACATAGCAAAGCTCAAACTATCGATAAAGCAGTTAAATCTTGAACAGGAGGGTGATGAAACTATGGCAATGCGATCACTAGTGCACATTACAGTCACATTTCTCAGCTTTGTTCCCTAGCACATCGTCCCCATTATGAATGTTCTGCTTGGGCTGGAGAGATGGCTCAGTGGTTAAGAGCACTGGCTGCTCTTCTAGAGCTCCTGAGTTCAATTCCCAGCAACCACATGATGGCTCACAACCACCTGTAATGAGGTCTGGCGCCCTCTTCTGGCCTGCAGAGATACACGCAGACAGAATGCTGTGTACATAATAAATAAAAAAATAAAAAAAAATTAAATTAAAAAAAAAAAAAGAAATCCTGTCTTGAAAAAAAAAAAATCAACCAACCAACAAACCAGTCTTACCAAAATAACTTATCTAACTGAAATGTGAAGCTCACTTATGAGCACAAGGGAAGGGCTGTTGACTCTGCTACCTACTAGATCCAAAAGTTTTTGATTTTAACAGAGCAAGTTCTTTGTTAGTTTTGGGGCAGGGACTCTCTAGATAGCTGAGGATGGCCCCAAACTCACAACCTTCCTATCTAAGACCACAAGCATATGCCACCATACCTGGCCATATTCTATTACAAATCTTCATAAACTAAGAAGGCATGTTGTAACTTCTTGAGTAGTGTCCCTGGTTTACTTTTTAAAGAAAGAGTTATCATATACCCCTGGATGGCCTTGAATTCACTATGTAGCTAAGATGACTTGAGTTCTTGATCCTCCTGACTCCACTATCCCCAGTTTACGGGGGTGCTGGGAAACAATCCCAGGGCTTCATGTGTGCAAGGCAAGGAGCCTCAAACACTGCCAAATGACTAACATATGTACCTCACAGTTCACTTACTACAAAGTACTTCTTTATCCTGGCTCTGAAAAATGTGGTTTGCTTGCCCTCACTTAAATATAAACAAACAGAAACCAAGCACACCAGGACTCCAATTGGTAGAGCACGCCTCTAATCCCAGCACTCAGGAGGCAGAGGCAGGCAGATCTCTGTGAGTTCGAGGCCAGCCTGGTCTACAGAGGGAGTTCTAGGGCAGGCTCCAAAGCTACAGAGAAATCTTATCTCAGGAGAAAAAAAAAAAAAGCAAAAAACAAACAAAAAATTGGCAAAGTGATGAAGTTTGGCCTAGTCTACACAGAATTCCAATCAGCCAGTCACCTGTCTCTACCAAGCCAAATCAACAAACTCCACACGCTAAGCAGAACACAGAGTAAGTTCTAGGCCAGCACGAGTTGCTGTCTCAAAAAAAGCAAAACAGAAGAAAAGGAAGCAGCCAGTGTGGTGGTTTACTTCTGCTACCCAGCACTGAGGGAAGATGGGGGTGGGGCGAGGGGCAGGAGGATGGGGTCAGACAAAAGGAACAAAAGTTCATGGTCACCCTCTGGCATGCTGGAGTTTGGAACAAGACTAGACAATATGAGGCTCAAAAAAACAAAAACAAAAACAAAACAAAAAAAGAGTGCACTAATCTCTTTAGAAGTATTCTCAGGCTGGGTGGTGGCACACGCCTTTAGTCCCAGCATTTGGGAGTCGGATCTCAGTGAGTTTGAAGCCTGGTCTACAAAGTAAGTTCCAGGACAGCTAAGACAGTTACACAGAGAAATCTTGTCTTGAAAACACCCCCACCCCAAAAAAGTGTGTGTGTGTGGCGCGGCTGGGAGCACTGACTGCTCTTCCAGAGGACCCCCACCTTCAATTCACAGCACCCACACGGCAGCTCGCAACTATCTATGGTTCCTGTTCCAGGGGATCTGACAACCTCAAACAGACATACATACAGGCAAAACACCAATGTACATAAAATACAAATCAAAAATGTGTTCTCCATGGCAGCTGCAGCCATTTAGTTTAGAGCAACCCTTTGGATCCCCACGTGACGTCTCCACAAACCTCAGCCGTGAGGTACTCCAGAATGGCGGCACTGTACACAGCAGCAGTGGCTCCCACCCGTCCATGGCTTGTGGTGCGAGTCTTCAAGTGTCTGTGGATCCGGCCCACAGGAAACTGAAAAAGAGACGTCTTTCTTGTTGGGAGGCACTGCAGTGCTTGAGTATAACTGAAGGCTTACCCCTGTTACGGGCAAATTTACTCAGTAGTTAATGGTCCTAGCACCTATATGGACCAAATCTTCAATTTTTGAGCAATGCAGTTCACTGTAAAAATGAGTATACCATGCTGTTATCAATTACATGTTCAATAAAGCCCAATAATCACATTTTTTTAAAAAATTTTTTATTTTGGTTCCTGTCCTGGAACTAACTCTGTAGACCAGGCTGGCCTCGAACTCACAGAGATCTACCTGCTTCTGCCTCCCAGAAGCAGGGATTTAATCCCAGAGTGCTGGGATTAAAGGCGTGCGCCATCACTGCCTGGCCCAATATCACAATTGTATCTGATCAATTTTCACATAAAAGTCACATGATTTTCAACCTTCACCCACCATTCTCCTCTGACCCTAACTCTGTTCTTCCTCAATTTTATTTTATTTATTTCTTTTGGTTTTTCGAGATAGAGTTTCTCTGTAGCTTTGGAGCCTGTCCTGGAACTAGCTCTTGTAGACCAGGCTAGCCTCGAACTCACAGAGATCCACCTGCCTCTGCCTCCTGAGTGCTGGGATTAAAGGCGTGTGCCACCACTACCCGGCCAAGATCTCATTCTTAAGGAATGTCACCAGAAGCAATTATAATTTTAAGAGCACAATCAATGCCTTATTTCTGTTTCGTAATGTTAGTAAGGTGTGCTTTCTGGCATGTAGCAAGACAGCCAAACCATCTCTTACTGAGCTTTAGAGACCACAAAGAACTGTATTTTAAACTTATATTATGTGTATGGGTGTACAACATGTGAGCCTAGTTCCTTCAAAGGCCACTGGATCCCCTAAAACCGGAAGACAGTTGTGATCTCCCATATGGGTGCTTGGAATCAAACCAGGATCTTCTGGAAGAAGTCAGTTCTCTTAATAGTTGAGCCTTTCTCCTGCCCGACAATGAGGCCTTTAAGACAATGTCTTAGGAAGGGTGGGTTGTGCATGGAGCACACCTTCGATCTCATCCCTGGGAGGCAGAGGCAGGCAGACTTCGGAGTTTGAGGCCAGCCTAGTCTACAGTGCAAGTTCCAGGACAGCCACTACTGCACAGTGAAACACTGTGTCAAAAAAACAAAAAAGAGGAGACAGGGCCTTGCTAAGTTTTCAGGCAGATGCCCAGTGATTCTTTGTACAGGACCACGCATACCTCTTAAAACAACTTAGTGGCTGGCATACAACTGGAATCTAGCACTGGGGAGAGAAGCACTGAAAATCACAAGCTTGAGGACAACTTGGGTTACAGGACCCTGTCCCCTGTCTACAAACACTGGTTCCTAAACAAAACAAATAAAAAATATTTTGACCCCTTTGGATGTCAGTGTGGCGATTTCGCAGAAAACTAGGAAACAACCTTCCTCATGGCCCAATAATACCACTTTTGGGTATATATCCAAAGGATGCTCAATCATGCCACAAGGACATGTGCTCAACTATGTCTATAGCAGCATTGTTTGTCATAGCCAGAACCTGGAAACAACCTAAATGCCCCTCGACCGAAGAATGGATAAGGAAAATGTGGTACATTTACACAACAGAGTACTACACAGCAGAAAAAAATGACATCTTGAATTTTGCAGGAAAATGGATGGAGCTAGAAAACAGCATTATGAGTGAGGTAACCCAAACCCAGAAAGACAATTATCACATGTACTCACTCATAAGTGGTTTTTAAACATAAAGCAAAGAAAACCAACCCACAAATCACAATCCCAGAGAACCTAGACAACAATGAGAACCCTAAGAGATACATACATAGATCTAATCTATATGGGAAGTATAAAAAGACAAGATCTTGTGAGTAAACTGGGAGCATGGGGACTTTGGGAAAGGGTTGAAGGGGAGGAGAGAGGCAGGGAGGGGAGTAGAGAAAAATGTAGAGCTCAATAAAAATTAATTAAAAAAAAAGAAAAATACAAAAAAAATTCTGAAAGGGATCATCAATGTTCTTGTGTTTCTTATTCTTTTAGACTATGAATCTCATCCACAGCACTAATTTTTAAAAAAATATTTATTATGTATACATTATTCTATCTGTCTGTATGCCTGCAGGCCAGAAGAGGGCACCAGACCCCATTACAGATGGTTGTGAGCCACCTTGTGGTTGTTGGTAGTTGAACTCAGGGCCTTTGGAAGAGCAGGCAATGCTCTTAACCTCTGAGCCATCTCTCCAGCCCTCACAGCACTAATTTTTCATAAATGATCTGAAACTAGTTAATTTTGTGTAGGACAACCTTTACAAAACTGGCCTTATTTCTGCTTTTAACTATTTAATATGCATTTCAATAAACTCTGCAACTCTGCAGTAACTAGTGTATCACATCTACCTTACAGAGCACTCATACTACAATCCTCTATTAGATTAGAAAGTTTTTTTTTTTTTTTTGATTTTCGAGACAGGGTTTCTCCGTAGCTTTTTTTGGTTCCTGTCCTGGAACTAGCTCTTGTAGACCAGGCTGGCCTCGAACTCACAGAGATCCGCCTGCCTCTGCCTCCCAAGTGCTGCCATTAAAGGTGTGCGTCACCACTGCCCGGCCTTAGATTAGAAAGTTCTAAGTCCCTTCAACACCCCTAATTTTTCAAGACAGAGTTTCTCTGTAGCTTTGGAGCTTGTCTTGTAGACCAGGCTGGTCTTGAACTCATAGAGATCCACCTGCCTCTGCCTCTCGAGTGCTGGGATTAAAAGAAAGTTACAATCTTAGAGAAAACCTTTTTTTTTGTGGGACAGGGGAGGGGCTTCAACTCTCTACCTCTTCCCATCGACCGCTCATACTTCTTTTTTGTAGCTCTAGAGACTGAACCTGGAGTCTGACAACATCCTGGGCATGTGCTTTACTGCTAAAGCGATATCCTTTCTTTGTACTTTTTCTTTGATTTTGCTATACAGAGTGTGCAGTGTGTGGGTTGGCCTCCAATTTGCAGAAATCTGAGCTTAGAAGCTTTGTACAATACCTAAGACTTGCTCTCTATTTTCTGAGGCAGAGTATGGCTAAGCTGCCCACACTTAGCATAGTCTTTAACACACTATGTAGCCCAGATTGACCTTGAATTTGTGATCCTACTGCCTCAGCCTCCAAAGCAGCTACTATCACAGGCAACGCTAGACTTCCTCAGTTACATGGATTATTTTTAAAACAAAGACAGCCGGTTGTGGTGGCGCACGCCGGTAGGATTTGCTGAAGGAGGCAGAGGCAGGGGGTTCACGAGTTCGAGGCCAGCCTGGGCTACACATTTCGGGAGGCAGAGGCAGGCGGATCTCTGTGAGTTCGAGACCAGCCTGGTCCACAGAGCTAGTTCCAGGACAGGCTCCAAAACCACAGAGAAACCCTGTCTTGAAAAAACAAACAAACAAACAAACAAACAAAAAAACCAAAACAAAACAAAAAAAAAACCTAAAAGAACAAAAAACAAAGCCATGCTCATTTTATTTTTAAAAGTTTGTGTGTCCAGGCATTTTGCCTTGTATGTATGTCTGCACACCATTTGCATGCCCAATCCCCTGAGCTAGAGTTACAGACATTGTAGTTGCCATTCGAGTGTGGAGAATTGATCTCATGATCTCTGGAAGAACACTCAGTGCTCTTAACTACCGAGTTCTCTCTCTAACTCCTATATGAACTCGCCCCACCCCCACCACCAAAACAGGGTTTCTTTGTTTGGCCCTGGCTGTCCTGGAACTTTTCCTGTAGACTAGGCTGGCCTTAAGCTCAGAGATTCACTCACTTTGCCTCCCAAGTGCTAGGATTAAAGACGTCTACCATCACCACCAGCTACATGCATGACTTTTAATCCTTTAAATCACTAAAATATTTATCTTGCTTTTTTTTTTGTTTGTTTTTTCAAGACAGGGTTTCTCTGTGTAACAGTCCTGGCTGTCCTAGAACTTGCTTTGTAGACCAGGCTGGCCTCGAACTCACTGAGATCTGCCTGCCTCTGCCTCCTGAGTACTGGGATTAAAGGCATGCACCCCCCCCCCCCCCGGCATATTTATCTTACAATACTTTATTACATTTATTTGTGTCTATGTACTAGGGAGACCAGAAGAGGGCACTGAATCCCCAGGAGCTGGAGCTACAGACTAAGGTAAGAGATGCCCAAACGAGAGCAGGGAACCTCTTTAGTCCTCTAGAAGAGGAGCCAGTGCTCTTAATTGCTGAGCCATCTCTCCAGGCTCCACTACTTATTTGTGTGTAAGTCAGAGGACAACTTGCCAAAGTTGGATATCTCCTTCCATCATTTGGGTCTGGAGGCATTTGGAGGTAAATGCCTTTATATGCTGGTCCATCTCACCAACCCTTTTCTTCTTCTCTCCCGTGCCCCTCCCCCGCACCAATCCCTTTATTTATTAAACCAATACAACAGTCTCCACTGCTCAAATATACCTGAAATAAATTATGAGAATTTAAGCAGTGCCCTAAAATACACAATACTTTAAAAGCTAAGTTCCTGAACTGTAAAGATGGCTCAGCAGTTGGAGCACACACTACCCTTACAGAGGATCTGGATTTGGTTTCCAGCACCCTCATGGTAGTTCACTTCAGTTCCAGGAGTTCCATGCTTTCTTTGGACCTCCACACATGATGCAAATGCAAGCAGGTAAAACAATCATACACATAAAATTAAAATAAAAACAGCTAAGCGGTGGTGGCACACATCTTTTATCCCAGCACTCAGAAAGCAGAGGCAAGTAGATCTCTCAGTTTGGGTCCAGCCTGGTCTATAGAGTGAGATCCAGGCCAGCCACGGCTACACAGAGAAATCCTGTCTCAAACAAGCAAGCAACACCCCCCAAAACAAAGAAAACAAAATGAACTGAAGTTCCTCTTCCCTTTCCTTCTGTGTCACAGAGATTCTGTAACCCACTTGTTGAAACTGCCATAAGAAACATGATTTGCTGTTGTGGTGAGCACACCTGAGGCAGGAGGCTGACACGGCTACAAAGGGAAGCTATGAAAAAACAACACACACACAACATCACATAGTATGGACTTCCAATTTCCCACTTAAAAACTATTTAAGAGCCGGGTAGTGGTGGCACATGCCTTTAATCCCAGCACTCGAGAGGAAGAGACAGGCGGATCTCTGGGAGTTTGAGGCCAGCCTGGTCTACAGAGTGAGTTTCAGGACAGTCAGGGCTACACAGAGAAACCCTGTCTTGAAAAACAAAAATAAAAAAAACAAAAAAACAAAAAATTACACACCCTTATTTTTGTGTATATGAATGTTTTGCCTGCATTGATGTCTATTTACCACATGTGTGCCTGGTGCCCAAAGAGGCCAGAAGGCTTAACCCTCTTGGAAATGGAGTTACAGATGATTTTGAGTTACCATGTAGGTTATGAGAATCAACTCTGGTCCTCTAGAAGAGCAAACACTCTTCATCACTGAGCCAACACTCCAGCTCCCCATTTCACCCCTCTTTTTTGAAACAGGGTTTCTCTGTATAACAGCCCTGGCTGTCCTGGAACTCACAGAGATCCGCCCTCGCGAGTGCCGGGATTAAAGGTGTGTGCCGCCACCCCTGGCTCCTCCAGCCCCTTTTGAAGCATTTCTTATGTGCAGGGAATAATTTTTACTCACCTAGAAAACTCTGTCTGTAGGTTGACGTCGTAATAATTCACATACATGAAATTTGAGAATACTTAGGAGTTTAGAACATACTTCTCAGACTACAATGGAAGTCTTTTGGGAAATATTTAGAGAATAGTGCAAAAATCCAATACTGGTCTCTAGTTCTATCCTGTCCTGAAAGTCAATGAGCCACTACAAACATTCTCAAAAGGAAAACCAGAGTATACGCACTCTAAATTTGTAAGAATGAAGAACATAGTTATAATCTTGAGAAACCAGGCATTTAAAAAGAGGTTTATTTCACTGTTAAGCGTACGCGGGTCTGTGTGGGTATGAGTTGTGTGAGATCCCCGATTAGGTGTCATAGGAGGCTGTTCTACAAGAGCAGCACACATTCTTAACTGTTAATTCTGCTTTCCAGGCCCAAGAACAGACATTAATAGAGGGGGAAAAAAATTAACAAATTTGTTAAGACATCCTATTCTCTTATAAAATACAAACTAATGGCTTACTTTATAATTTATGCCTTAACTAGTTACTCTCACATTCAAAGGTGTATTATAAAAAAGGACATTTCTGCAATCAATAAACCATCTCTGGGTCATGAATTACAAATGTAAAGAAAACAAAAAACTGACAGAATGGATTCATTCATTACCTGCAGCCCAGCTCTCTGTGAGCGGGACACTGCCTTAGCCTTGGCTTTCCCACTGTCTTTCCCAGCTTTGCCTCCAGCCTAGAGGAAAACAATTTGGAGTTGAAAATGTTAATGCAAAAAAGTCACAAAACAATACTTTAGGTAAAAATTTCTTAATTTCTTTCTTTATTTCTTTCTCCTTTCTTTTTTAGTTTTTTTGAGACAGGGTTTCTCAGTAGCTATGGAGCCTGTCCTGAAACTCGCTCTACAGACCAGGCTGGCCTCGAACTCTGAGATCGTTCTGCCTCTGCCTCTCGAGTGCTGGGATTAAAAGCGTGCACACCTACTGCCTAACTACGTAAAAATTTCTTATAAAAATTTAAGATATTAGAGGCAGGCGGATCTCTGTGAGTTCGAGACCAGCCTGGTCTACAAGAGCTAGTTCCAGGACAGGCTCCAAAACCACAGAGAAACCCTGTCTCGAAAACAAAACAAAACAAAACAAAACAAAAAACAAAACAAAACTTAAGATATTTAGGTGATTTGCTGCCTCACTGTAAATATATATATATATATAAAACCTTCTATTAACACATTAAAAAACCAATCACTAACACATATTTAAAGTTTCAGTTATCTATAAATCTGACAAATTTTTGATTGACATTAAGTTTCATGCATTTCAGAAACATTTAACTTTTCTTTTTTTCCTTTGTTTTCAAGACAGGGGTTCTCCGTAGCTTTGGAGCCTGTCCTGGAACTAGCTCTTGTAGACCAGGCTGGCCTTGAACTCACAGAGATCCGCCTGTCTTACGAGTGCTGGGATTAAAGGTGCATGCCACCATTGCCCAGCAACTTTTAACTTTTCAAAAAGATCAGCATAACATTATTTCCATAGAAAATTGAGAATTTATCTTTTCTGGGAGGAAGAACAACCATGTTATCAAAAATTAGGCTAACTAAACACTGAAAAAAGAGAATGAAGTTCCTCAGGACCCAGCCAGTCCATTTCTAGTTACAGACCCCAAACAAGTCATGACTCAAATGGGTACTTGTACAGCTCTGTTCACGACAACATTATTACAGCAGCCAAATAAACAGAATCAGCCACATGTAATGGACTGAGTTGAAGGCTTCATTCTCAAATATTAGCACTCTTTAGGTGGTGAGACAGAAATGAAGGTTGTTGGTCACTGGTGTATGTCCTTACAGAGTGCACTATAACTGGCTGTTTCCTGGCAAGCCATGAAGTACACACTCTTGCTACCATAATGCTTTGCCCAAGAGTATGGGGGCAACTGAGGCCCAAAATCATCTGAAATCATGATCCAAAGTCCCTCCCACATTTTCTTTTGGTTTTTCGAGACAGGGTTTCTCTGTGTTGTCCTGGTTATCCTGCTGGAACTCTCTCTGTAGGCTACGCTGGCCTCAACTCATGGAGATCTGCCTGGCTCTACGTCCAAATGCTGGACGCCATTATAGCTTAGCAGTTTTTCCTTTTTTAAACCTTTTTGTCAAGTATCTGGTCAAGGTGATGAGGAAAATAATAAAGAAACTTAGTACCAAGAGTGGGGTTGTTGTCATGACTAAACTTGATCTATGGCTCTTAGGCTTCTGGAGCTGATTTACAGGAGAAATGTAGAAGAGTTGGAGATGTGGGCTATAGCAGCTCTGGGATGCTATAAGAACTCAACTAGCAATTCTGCATTTAAAAATACAGAACACAGATGATACAGAGATTCAGATAGAACAAAGACTATTGGGAAGTGGAGTAAGGGCCACTCGTTATTCTATTTGTCTGTATTTTGCGGGAAGCTGATCACAGCAGCGAATTTGGGGGGGGGGGGAGTTCAAGACTGTGGAGCACCCAAGCTTTGGCGTTACCATTTCTAGCTGCTGTGAGCAAAGCTTAGCATTTTTTACAATAAATATTGTAGCTGGGTGGTGGCAGCACACACCTCTAATTCTAGCCCTCAGGAGGCAAAGGCAGATAGATCTATATGAGTTAGAGGCCAGCCTGGTTTACAGAGTGAGTTCCAGGACAGTCAGGGCTACACAGGGAAACCCTGCCTTGAAAAACCAAACCAAGGGCTGGAGAGATGGCTCAGCGGTTAAGAGCATTGTCTGCTCTTCCAAAGGTCCTGAGTTCAATTCCCAGCAAACACATGGTGGCTCACAACCATCTGAAATGAGGTCTGGTGCCCTCTTCTGGCCTTCAGGCATACACGCAGAAAGAATATTGTATACACAATAAATAAATTAAAAAAAAAAAAACCAAACAAAAACCAAAAAGAAAAAAAAAACTTTAAAAAAAACAATAAGCTGCTACTTACACATATAATCAACTTTAAATAAGAAATCGTTGATGACTGAAAAAGAGAAAATATGTAAAAGCTAGGCTATGGAGCTGGCTCAGCAGGTACAGGTCACTGGCATTAACCTTACCACCTCGGCTTGAGCCTGAGACTCACTGGTGGAATGAGGACAGACTTGGGCAAGCTGTCCTCTGACCTCATAAGCCCACCCTTACATATACACAATGAATACAAACTTTGTCTGGGTTTAAAAAGTTTATTCCAAAATATACATACATAAATAAAAAAAAGTTTATTCATGGGAAAGGAACATACTGAAATAGATTTTCGCCTTGAAAATTGGATACTTTGCTATTACTCTAATAGACCACTTTTATTTCCCGTCAATTTTTTTCTTTTTTTTTTTAACCAAGGACAATCAACACCATCAGTATATTTTTTTCTCTTAATGCTTATGTATTTGTGGGTAGATATTGAAAACCTATCACTACAATGTGAGAAAGAAAAACTAACCGGGATCATAAAAACCAACCACCTGAGGCCGGGCGGTGGTGGCCCACACCTTTAATCCCAGCACTCCGGAGGCAGACAGGTTAATCTCTGTGAGTTCGAGGCCAGCCTGGTCTACAAGAGCTAGTTCTAGGACAGGATCCAAGGCACCAAAGCTACACAGAGAAACCCTGTCTAGAAACACAAAGAAACAAACAGAAACTCCTAACTGCCTGAGCAGATTAACTTCTGTACGAACAAGTAACTCCTGCAGTCACCACACAATGACAGCTGACAGAACTTTTCTAGTTTGAGGTCTGAGAATTTTACAAGTCCAAACTTGGCTACTTTCCACTGGCCAATCTGTTTATAGTCATCTACTAAACACCTCACATGTCATCAACATGAGACACATTACACTATTTGTCATTGAGAAATGATAGCCTGGGGTTGGCTTTAACTTTGAAGGCAGCCGCACCTGTTGAAGGTACCTGTCTCGTGAAGATGTAGGAGAAACTCAAAGTACTAAGACTGATGTGATAATGCACTTCCTAATAGGTTTGCTTAGGAGACACTGACACAAATCAGATTTAGCTAAAGGAGCACTGCCTCCAAAAGAACCCAAAGATAGGCAGTGCAGTTAGGCTAACCGTGCCTGTTCCTGATAAGGGGAATTTAGGATGCTAGGATACAGTAGTTTATTCACCGGGACTGACCCAGCCAGTTAAGACTCCATTCCCACAGCAAAGGAGACAGCACCGATTTAAGACCAGCAGTTACGCCCAGATTCCCACACCCAAACACAAATCAAGGCGGCAGGCAGCACAGGGTCACAAGCACCATTAAGTCGTAGTCTGCCATTTACTCCCCGGAGCTCTTATCAGGGAAAACATAATTCTGTCAGGTGGGAAAGATGACCCGGAAACGACTATTCGAAAAAGAAGAACAACAATGGCATACTTACAATAATCCTGGTAATATGTAGTATTTTTTGCTGTGTAAATCTCCTATCTGCCTAAGTGGCCAGACTTGCAATCTCCTGCCTCTGTTTTAATTGTTCGAAGTGTAACCTGGGACCCGAAACCGAAAAGAGATTTCAGGATGACAGTGTCTGTGGAATGCACAAGCCTAAAATGTACATAAATTAGAGCTCCCGACGAAAGCTGGCTCTTGCTAAGGTGTTAACCCAGCCGGACATGCGCTACTAAATAGTTTTTCCTTAATTAATCTCTTACGTGTGTGGACAGACTATTGGGAAGGCATGTTATTTCTTTAACAGTGAAAGGATACTTAGAACAGGAATACCAACATCAATACAATTCCATAACTGTGAGCGTCATTCCCTCTAACAATTTTGACGCAACGCACAGGTTTCCGTTGCTTTTAGCACTTTCTCCTTCCCCTGAATTTAGAATGGTGCTAAAGTTTTATTCACTTTCATTTCTAAAAGTCCGCTTTCAACTAGATCCGAACTGCAGAATGAAAAGATACTTTCAGATGAAGCCCTGTAAATAAACCGTTGCCTTTACAGAAGTGGGGGCATAATCCGGTGACCGCCTCAAGCCGGTGCAAACCGCGCACCGACAGAGCGGTACCGGTGGGCAGGGTCAGAACTCCTCCGATCCTCAGCAGGGGCATTACGTAACCCGGCGCCGGAGACTCCGCACTGGCCCGGCGGCGGCGGGTCCTCCTCCGGGAGCCGCTGAACCCGCCCCTGCTTCTGCCTCCCGCGTCCGGCGCGGCCCCCCAGGCGGAGTCCGGCCCCGGCGGGCGCTCCCGCTCGGCTGCGCGACACCGCCCACTCCCAGCGCCACAGGTGGAGGCGCCGCCCGGGGCTTCCGCGCGCCTGCTCCCCGCGCCGCCCCGCACTCACCATGGTCTTGGCCGCGCGACGCCCACTGCCGCCCCGCGCCGCCGCCGCCGCTCTTGCAGCTGGACCACCGCTGCCGGAGCCGGACAATGCCCCCGGCCCGCCTCGCGCCGCCGCCACCAATAGCCGCTCGTGTTGTTCATTTGAACCTCGGTGGCGGACCAATGGGACGCTTCCTTCTAGCCGGAACTCCGCCCTCTCGGCACCGCCTCCCCAACGGCTGTTTGTTTTTGCACACGGCACTTGGAGGCGGGGCCTCCAACCCCAACATTGACGCGCTCTCCGCCTCTCTCCTGGCGCGGAGTCTGACGAACAGAAGAACGAACCAATGGGAGAGGAGAAAAGCCAATGAAAACATTGCCGGCCGCGCCGGAGGCGGGAGTCTGGGAACAACAGCGGGGTGAGCCAACGGACCGGAGTGATTCGGGGCCCCTGTGCCTTTCCCGCCCGTGCACGAGCCCGCTAGGCCTTCTTAGTTTGCTTTGTTTTTCTTCTATTACTAGAAGTTTAGGGGAAATGTCCAAGTAGCACGGAAGGAAAAGTCTTAAGTGGAATTACCTTCGTGCGGAAGCTATTGGGAAAACTTAGGAATATGTGTGACCCACCGGCACGGTAGTAAAATTCTCTAGCTATCGTCCACCCGTTCATACAACTTTAAAACGCTTCTTTGTTTCTGTGATGATCATAGAACCTGGGCGATTTGGGAGAGCTGCGTCCGTCCGTTTCTCAGCTGAAGAAGTGAGCTTAGGAGAACGTAGTCATTTTCATACACCCCATCAGAATTCTTAGGACTTCGTTCTGGTTCCAGCTTCCAAAGGTTTATTCTTTTCGCCGTGGGAAGCCCAGACTAGTCCTAGGAATTAATTGCGAACGAAATAATTCTCTACTCTTTTGTTTTATTTTGAGACTTTGCCCTTACGGTTCGGTTTTCCCAAGCCAGTGTATTTAGAAAATTTCCTCTAGATAGATGGTATCTGTCCCCAAGTTTGAATTACGTTTCTTCTTTTTTTAATATTTATTTATTTATTAAGTATACAATATTCTGTCTGTGTGTCTGCCGACCAGATGAGGGCCCCAGACGTCACTACAGATGGTTGTGAGCCACGATGTGGTTGCTGGGAATTGAACTCAGGACCTTTGGAAGAGCAGGCAATGCTCTTAACCTCTGAGCCATCTCTCCAGCCCTTGAATTACGTTTCTTTTGACAATTAACCTCCATCAGAAACAGTAACCTGGGAGAAGTGAGTCTTTCCGGAAAAAATAATTTGAATTCTAGACGAGGAAGGGATGAGCTTCTAAATGACTTTGGGAAATCCAGATGAAGATAAAGACAAAAGTGAGGAGAAGGGGGCCAATGAAATCAGAATAAATGCAAATGTGCTGAGATAATAGAACTAGGCTCGAGTTCGGAGTTAGTCAGTAGACAGTACCCTGTTAACTCCTAATCCTTTGTGTTTCAGGGCATAATTGAATGATAATATTGGTCTACTAGGAAATGGTGTTACCAGTGTACCAAGACATCAGCCAGTTATCTTTGTACAAAGACAGAATCCAAATCATTAGCACGGTATCGAAGGCCCTGACCCCTGCTCACCCTGTCTCTTACCACTTCCCCAACACCCTAACTTCATATTGCTTTTGTATGTGTTTTTGCCTTTTCTTAAAGCAATCCTCTGTCTTGCCTCTTTTATTCATCTTTTAAGAGTAAACACAACCAGACGTGGTGGGACACACCTGTAATCTTAGTATTCGCTGGTAGGCTGAGGCAAATATCACAAGTTCAAGGCCAGCTTGGGCTATGTGCAAAGACAGGGCTCATTGAAGACATTTTCTAGAATATTTTCCATTGACCTCCTAATCTGAGGTGAGTGTCCTTCTGCATGGTTGTGGCACACAGTATATACTGTAAGGGTCTCCCTCGGAGCATAGTATTTTTTTTTAGTTTTTTTTTTTTGCCTAGTATTCTAGAAATGTTAGTTGGCAAATAATTAAATAGAAAAATAACATTTAAATCAATCACTAAGATAGTGTCACCTATGGAAAGATCTGACTGACTTGCAGCCATGTGGTTTATGTACAGTATTTCATGTCACCAAGCTTATTTTTGCTGTTAGTAAAACTGAAAATAGCACCTACCTTTTTTCAAGGATTGTGTGTGTGTCTGCCTGCGTGTGTCCGCCTGCGTGTGTCCTCGTGCATGGTCCGTCCGTATGAGTGTGCACACACGTGGTGGTCAGAGGATGCTGTTAGGTGTCCAGCTCTGTCTCCCTCCACTTTATTCCCTTGAGACAGGGTCTCTTACTGAACCCGAAGCTTGTCATTGTGGCTAGCCAACAAGCTCCCAGGACCCACCTATCTCTGGATTCAGTTCTGGGGTTACAGGCATATGTGGCCAGTGTTTCACCTTTTGGTTTTGTAACTGAAATCCTTGGCCCTGAACTCTTGCTTCCCTGGACTCTTCCAGTGCTCAGGGCTTGCAGTTTCTCTTCTGTGGCTCCTTGCAGCCTTTATACCCCTTTCAGTCTCAGCTCTCTGCCCTGTCTCTCCTCTGTCCTTCCTGCCATGGCCTCTCCTGGGCTGTTTACTGCTGCTTTGGTTGCCAAACAGATGGCAGCCTTGTTTAGATTAGCCTCTCCCTGCTAAACTGCTCTGCTCCCCTCTCCCCTTCTCTCTCCACTCTCCTTTGAGATAAAGTCTTTAAGTATATAGCTGAGGCTGGCCAGGAACTTGCTGGGTAGCCCTAGTTGACCTCAAAGTAATAAAAATCATACAATATGGGTGAAAAATTAGTAAGATAACATCAAAATCCTCACTTATTGAAGTTACTGGTGAGGAAATCTTAAAATTCATGCGCAAATGCAAGAGAATTAGAATAACTAAAATTATCTTGAGAAAGAACCAAGTTGGAGGATTTACCTTTCTTAATTCCAAAACAGACTACAAAGCTATAGTAACCAAGTATGTCTAGCAAAATGATAAACCAGTGGGCCAGAGTTTGAAAATGAACCCACATGTTCATGTAGGTTGATCATTTGGCAAGCGTGCCAACAGAGTTCAGCAGGGGAGAAGGCAGTCTTTAGTAGATGATACCTGAACCTCTAAGTAAAATGTGTGTAGCGCGATCTCTATTTGGTCTTAATAATAAAAACCTGCAGTCAGATATTAGGGGGTGAAAGTTGAAAGATCAGAGAAGCAGAGTAGCCAGCTACTAGTTCTTAACTCTACGAAATCCTCAGACCAAATGGGATATCCTATTTTTACAAATTCTCAGACTGAATGCCTTTCTCTGAAACCTCAGACTGAATCCATGGGCTCCTGTCTCTTCCCACCTTTCATTCCTCTCTCCACCTAGGCATATCCCTTCCTGTCTTCACTTCCCTAGTGCTGGGGTTAAAGGTGTGAGCCACCACCACCTGACTCTGATCCTCCTTTAGACTGGATCGATCTTGCATAGCCCAGGGTGGCTTTGAACTCACAGAGATGGCTTTGAACTCACAGAGATCTGTCTGCCTCTGCCCCCTAAGTGCTGGGGTTAAAGTGTGTGCCACCACTGCATGGCCTCTATAGCTAACTAGTGGCTAGCTCTGCATTTTGATCATCAGGTAAGCTTTATTTGTTAGAGCACAAACAAAATATCACCACAAATATATACATACATGCAGGCAAAACATTCCTACACATAAAATGAAAAATATAATTTTAAGTGAGAAAAACACAAAGCCAATGTAAAAGGATAGGTAACCAAACTCATTTATTCTTGAGTTTCAGGTTAGCTCTAAAGGACAATAGGGTAAGTTTTTGATATATTTGTGTTGTGCACCATTAAGCAACTATTTTTTTTTTGTTTCTGTTTTTATTTTTTGAGACAGTGTTTCTCTGTGAAACAGTCCTGGCTGTTCTGGAACTCACTCTGTAGACCAGGCTGGTCTCGAACTCACAGAAATCTTCCTGTCTCTGACTCCCAAGTACTGGGATTAAAGGTGTGCACCACCGCTGCCCAGCTGACAGTAAGCAACTTACAAAAACATGAATACACAGTGGCTGGGGAAATGGCTTAGTGAGTAACATGCTTTGCAAGCATGATATCTTGCATTTAGATTCCTCTACTCAAAAAGTCAGACATGAGCCAGACAGACATGGTTCTCACCTTTAATCCCAGCAACTGGGAGGCAGAGGCAAGTGGATCTCTGTGAGATAGAGGTCAGTCTGTGATAGAGGAAGGTCATTGGTTAAATAAAAAGAAACTGCTTGGCCCTCATTGGTTAGAAGATAGGTGGGAGGAGTAAAGAGAACAGAACGCTGGGAGGAAGAGGAAGTGAGCTCAGACTCCACAGCTCTCCTCTCGGGAGCCGACGCCTCAGAGAGACACCATGCTCCCAGCTCCCAGGCAGACGCACGTGATGAAGCTCCGACCCAGGATGGACATAGGCTAGAATCTTCCCGGTAAGCGCACCTAGGGGCGCAACACAGATGATTAGAAATGGGCTAAATTAATATGTGAGAATTAGCCTAGAAGAGGCTAGATAGAAATGGGCCAAGCAGTGATTAAATGAATACAGTTTGTGTGTTGTTATTTTGAGCATAAGCTAGCCAGGCAGCCGGGGTGCTGGGGACGCAGCCCCGCCGCCCCCTTATTACTACAAGTCTGGTCCAGAAAGCATGTTTCAGGACAGCCAGGGTTAAAGAAACCCTGTCTCAAAAAGCAAAAACAAATACCGCCCCCCTCCCCCCCAACAGAGGCAGACATGGAGCACATAAGCACACATTTGTAAAACAAACACTGAGAAGCTGAGGCAGGATTCCAGGCAGTCTCTGGCTAGTTGGTCTGACCAATGAGTGAGCTTCAGGTTTGGTGGTAGCAACTTGCTTCAAAAATAAAATAGATACATAGACACAAATATACATGTAATGGTGCTAGGAGAAAGGTAAATGTGTTTCATGTTTCACACACCAATGCAGCAGGGTTTGTATAACCATGTGACTTCATGGTTGTGATCTCAAAGGAACTTCTCCCTTAAATTTTTTTGCAATTAATGTAAGAACAGTCTGAGTCTCTAAACCTATTTGTTACTGGGTGGTGGTGGCGCACACCTTTAATCCCAGCTCTTGGGAGGCAAAGGCAGGCAGATCTCTGTGAGTTTGAGGTCTGCCTGGTATACAGAGAGAGATTTCCAGAATAGCCAGGGCTGTTTCACAGAGAAACCCTGTTTCAAAAAACCAAACAACAACAAAAAGTGTTAAAAGGGGCTGGAGAGATGGCTCAGTGGTTAGAGGACCCAGGTTCAATTTCTTGCATCTACATGGCAGCTTATAACTGTAATTCTAGTTCTAGAGAGTGGTTCTGGCATTTATGGGCACTGCACACACATGATGCACTGCAC